GACCAAGGAAATATAGTCAAATACATGGAAACTGAATAACACCCTGCTGAATAGCAACTGGGTAAAAGAAGAAATTAAATGTCAATTCATAAAGGTCCTAGAAAAAAACAAGAATGAAATCACAACAAACCAGTATCTTTGGGACACGGCGAAAGCAGTGCTGAGATGACAATTTACTGTGATAAATGCGCACATCCAAAACCAAGAAAGAACTCAAATTAACACATTAACACAGCATCTCCAACAATTAGAAACAGACCAACAGAGGGAACCTACAGTCACTAAAAGACAAGATATAATAAAGATAATAGCAGAAATAAATGAGATGAAAAACTATTGAAAGAATCAACAGGACAAGAAGCTGGTCCTTTGAAAGGATTAATAAAATTGACAGACCATTGGCAAAACTGACAAAAAAAAAAGGGCAAAGACACAAGTAACTATGCATTAGAAACCACATGGGTGATGTCACAACTGAACCAAACGAAATCAAAAGGATAATAACAGAATACTATGAACAGTTGTACTCCGACAAATTGGAAAACTTAGAATAGATGGATACATTTTTATAAAAACACGACCTACCAAAACTTACACAGAGTAAAATAGAAAACCTGAACAGACCCATAACAATAGCAAAAATTGATCAGGTCATCAAAAATTCCCTACTAAAACAAGTTCAGATCTACATGGCTTCATAGACCCACCTGGGTCTATGTGTGAGTGTAATGGGAAAAATGCAGCAGTGAAGACACAGGCAGAGTCTGGACATGTTCTACTTTCACCCATTGACCTTAAGATAAGAGGAGCAAGAATGCTGGCTGGTTTGAAATGTAGGGAGTTGTGTGAACTTCTGAGCCCATGGGCACTGACCTAACCATATGGGCAAGGGCTGACTTGAAGTGCAGGGAGGTGTGTGAACTCCCAAACTTGCAGCTGGTACCTATTTGACCTAGCTTGGGTGGCTAGTGTTGTGTTGACCAGGACCTAACCTGATGAAGATAAAGATGTTTGATATTGTGAGCAAGTTGCAATTTGATGAACTGGACTTTACTTATGAAAGCAGTTGATCAAAATTCAAATTGGAATGAAAGATTTTTCATATCAAGGCTCCTTGTTTCCTCAGTGTACTGGGTTTAGTTGTTGTTGTTGTTAGGTGCCATCGAGTAGGTACCAATCCATAGCAACCTTATGCACAGCAGAACGAAACCCTCCCTGATCCTGGGCCAACCTCACTACTGTTGCCATGCTTGAATCCATCGATGCTGCCACTTGGCCAATCCATCTCATTAAGGGTCTTCCTCTTTTTCTCTGACCCTCCACATTACCTAACATGATATCCTTCTTCAGTGACTGGTCCCTCCTGACCATATGTCTGAAGCATGAGAGAAGAAGTTTTGTCATCTTGGCCTCCAAGGAGCACTCTGGCTGCACTTCTTCCAAAATGAATCTGTTGTTTCTCCTGGTAGCCCATGGCACTGTTAATGTTCTCCTCCAACACCATAACACAAAAGCATCAATTCTTCTATGGTCTGTCTTCCTTATTCACTGTCCAGCTTTTGCATGCATATGAGGTTATTGAAAATACCATGGCTTGGGTCAGATGCACCTAAGTCCTCAAGCTGACATCTTTGTTCTTCATCCCTTTAAAAAGTTCTTGTGCAGCAGATTTGCCTAATGCAATATGCCATTTGATTTTTTGACTGCTGTTTCCGTGAGTGTTGATAGTTGAACCAAGAAAAATGAAGTTCTTGACAACTTCAATCTTTTCTCTGTTGATAAGAATGTTGTTTATTGGTCCAGTGGTGAGGATTTTTGTTTTCTTTACATTGAGATGTAATCCATATCAAAGGCTATGTATGCTCTTTGATCTTCATTAGTAAATGTTTTAAGTCCTCTGCTCTTTCAGCAAGCAAGGTTGTATCACCTGCATATTGCAGGTTGCTAATGAGTTGATAGAGAGGGGCAATTTAGACATTGGCTATCAAAAATGGAGGGATATAAAGGCATGAAGTGGCTAACTTATAAGCTTTTTTGGGTGTGATTTGTTTTAGAACCCCCACTGAATAGTTTTTCTTTTTTCCAGAATGGTCTGATGAAAGGGAGTGGGGGATGATGGTGACAGGATTTTATGATTTCAGTTGTGAATAATTTTTAATAGGATTAATCATGATTGTCAAGACTGTAATTGTATAAGATGTGTAACTAAATTGGGGAGTGGTTATTTTTCATTTCAGGAATAGAGGATCACAGGACAATTAAGAAAAGAGCATGAGCTTAGGACTCCCGGCGCTTCCCTGACCAGGCAGCACAGAGGAGACACTGGAGAGGGAGAGAAAGGAATAGTCAGAAACACCACACTAGAAGGCTTGTAAGTCCGTCTTCTGCCTATGACTGAATGGAATACCTAAAATGGGGCTACAGCATACCCAGTAAACGAGGCTTCTTGCGGAGCCTTTGCAATACATAAAACTATAGGTAGAAACCGGAACTACAACCAGATCTCCAGAGATGAGAAAGCGCCACTTGAAAGGACGAGCAGACTAGCCTGGAACAGCTAGAAGAATAAAAGATACCTCTTGAAAGAAAGACCTGCAGGAAAAATGGAGGCAGATAAATCACTTCCCTAGGAAACATCAAGGTAAGTGGCCAGGTCCTCTCAACGCAAACCCCCCTCCAAGACTAAGACTCAACGGAAATGCACGCTCTGATCGGTGACCATACACATCATCGATGGGGGGAAGTGGGGTAAAAGCAGCAATGAAGTGGCAAGCTAAGCCTTACAATGCTCAGCGGACTTCTGTGGACCCAGTTGGGGACCTGGTTGGCAAGCAGTGTGAGGAGACCTGGGGAGTCTTGGGCCCAGAGTCAGTGGTGTGGCCACGGAGGACTCCAGAGGAGAGTGGAACTACCAGCTGATGGGAAGAGAGGGCATACAGCGCCCACACTTGCAGATGATACCCACGTGACCTGGACCAGATGACTGGATGATTGGAGCTCAACCAGGAGAGGAAAGAAGAGGGGGAAAAAAAAAATGAATGATACAATCTGATGAAATTGACCTATACATATGGAGCAGCAACTCAAAAGAAGGAACAAATACTTACAGCAAGAAGCATTTACACCCCCTCCACACACAGAGTAGATGGAGATAGGCAACTTGAACATTGGATACTCAAATGGGGAGGGGGGGACTACAAAGGCAAAAAGTGACTGGCTTACAAGCCTTCAAGAGGGAACCTAATGCCAGGGAGCATGGAGGAAGGCAGAATCTCCAGTAGGTACTACTCAATCTGTCTGGGTGGAGCTGATGGAAGGAAATACAGATGGGTAACTCGTGATACTGTAGTGAATAAGGCTTATCAGGACAGATTGTGAGGGTTGGAAATGCAAAGGTAGACATTTTGTAACAAGGAAGGGAGTGATTAATTCTCCAGGCTAGGAGCTGAGGTCTCTGGGACCATCAATGGAGAAGATCCGAGAGCGGGACCCTACCTAGAGAAACAGAGATTCCTGAGATGGAGGCAGAGATGATGGCGTGGAGTGGGTGGGTTTCTAGGATATACCCTTTGGTTGGTTGATGATGCATGGAGGGGATTGGAACCATGGTAATGAGATGATATACGATGGAATGAATGTAAGACTAAGGTTCTCCCATGTAAACTATCATATAATTTACAATAAAACATTAAAAAAAAAAGAAAAAAAGCATGAGTGGAGTGTGGGATCCCTGCCTGAAAATTGGTGACAGTAGAGACTGCTGCTGTGTGCTTATGGGCAGGACACTGGCTTGCACAATGTGCTCTTTGGACATTTAAATGAATATATATTTTTTGTTTTGTTTTGTATATGTGCATCAAATGTTTTATCCCTGTTCATTGTGACATATCAGATGTAAATGGAGCCAGTGTATGTTCGGTTGTACGTGTTTTAGTTATATCATGTTAAGTGAAAGTATGACTTTACAATTTTCTTTATTTAGAGATTGTGCCTGTAGTTAAAAGGTGGAGGGTCAGAGAAAAAGAGGAAGACCCCCAGAAAGATGGATTAGCCAAGTGGCAGCATCAATGGGTTCAAGTATGGCAACAATAGTGAGGTTGGCCCAGGATCGGGCAGTGTTTCATTCTGCTGTGCAAAGGTCACTATGAGTCGGAACCAACTCGATGGCACCTAACGACAACAACAACAATTTAACAAGAGTAGAATCTAACGGATAGTTTTTTATTTCAACTCAAGTAGGCCAGGGTTTCCAGAGGTTTAGCAGTTGCGATGCACCTATTGCCATGTGATGAATCCTAACATAGGCACAGTTATCTCTGAGGTGAGGGGCTAGGAGCAACCAACGAATTGATTGAAAGGATGCTTCCTTGGGGGTGTGTTCTCAATATAATGGACATGAGGGAGGGACTCTCTCTCTCTCTCTTCCTCTGGGGACCTGGGACTCTACAGTTGTAAGTTAATAAACTTTTGTATATATGTATATTTCACTGGTTTCACTTCTCTAGAGAGCCAAGCCTGAGATAGTTACCTTTCTTCTTTGAAAGGATTTTAAAAACATTTTCTGCAGATATTATTAATTAAATTAAAAATAAAAAACACCAGACTAAGGAAACCGCAAAATAAAACATCATTACCTCCTGCTGTCTTAGCAAGAAAACATCAATGAGACTTCTTGGATCACTTTTGTTAAGTTTATGACGGTGATCTAGGAAAGTCATTCTTATGAAAGAAAACAATTCATCTATATTCCGGAGTACAGTCTTATGACTTTGGAGGAGGAATCCCAAAACTGGAAACATATTGAAAAGCTAAAAGAAAGAAGAGCAACAAAGTAAGTTAAATATGCACACAAACTGCTTGTGATTGTGCTAATTATACCATTATTTTTGAAAGCATTATAGAAATAACATCTCATATAGACTTGAACTACTTTAACTGACAACGACAAAGTATACAATGAGATCTTGTCATTTATTAGAACTAAGTTACTTAAAATGAATATTTTTATGATTTCCAGGATGATCTATATATTCAGAACACCTTTGTGTGGTTTGCTTGTGACAATACATTTACTTAGAGACCAAATGAGACATAAAAATAATAGTGGTATTTGTTATAAAACCAAGTGTTTTGGAAAATCCCAGGTGAATTCTGGTAAGCAATCAAATTATTACTTTTTAAAAATAGGATCAGAAGACTTATTTTAAAATTCTTGACAGAATTTACTATCTGTAGTACTCATAGAACAGTGTCATTTAGTCTCATATCTGTTGACCACTAAAAAATTTAAGAAGGGCTTCACTGTTTGCTGAATTTCATGTTATATTTTTCTGTATATTCCTTTTGGAGCAGAATCTATATGTTTTGCTCAAAATTCTCAAAGGAATATGACCCCAAGGGGTTCGTGACTACAGAAATGACTTACTAAATATTCTAGACAAAATGTCTCTAAAATTAGACATATAGTTGCATATTTCAGTATTCTCATGCACCTGTGGTCAAAATAAATCTGCATTTATAATAGCAGAGCTGAAATATTCCAAAGTGAAGTAATAAGGTCCTTTGCCAGTGGTGCTACTCAAAATGAGAATTACTTGGCCAGGATCTTTTTAGCTACATTTCAGAAGATAGTGACTTTATCACTCACAACTATTTTTTCAAACACTGAACTATAGCACTGTTGTAAAATTACATGGCTCAAAATCAATATGAGATTTTGTTTAGCACTTCATATTTTTTATATCTGGTAGACTTCCTTTGTTAAAATTCACTCTCTTCTGTGATTTTTACTGAGTGACTCTTATTTATTTATTTGCTTATTACAAATGCCATGCCTTCCTAGTGGCATAGGTCAAGATCAATGGACAAAATTGTGTGAATTTCAAACCAGAATGTGAACTCTTTATTGGTGTGACTCACAAAACCCATGTCTTAAAATATTTGATACAATATTTTATGATAGGAGAATGATCAGTATAATCCAGTAAGCTTGACACATCTCTTTCGGCCTGTACTCAGAATGTTCAAGCAAGTGTGTATTATTAATGAAATGACTATTTTCTTATACTGCTAGTTGCTGGTCTCTTGAATAATTTCTTTTGAACCTCAGAGGAATTAAAAGTGAGTAAAAAATAAATTACCGTAATTCCAGGACCTCCAATGAGTCTCACATTTTCACCGATCAAGGTTAAGAGTCTCAGGAACTGAGGGTCTTGATAGTCAAACCGTTTCCCAAGCAATACGGACACAATGATGTTAGCAACAGAAGCATTCATCACTGTTTTGATCTCAAAAGGCTTTCCTAGAACATATTGATTAGTCAAGTTAGAAACACTCACATAGACAGAATTAAGCTGGTTCCATACCGATTAGTACCGATTGAAAAATAGTTTCATAAATTAAAGGATACTGATGGTTATGCATTCCAGGGATGGTGATAATAGAAATACTTGAAGGAGGTTTGAAAAATACCCAGCAAAACCAAACCAAATGCAAACCATCTAGACTCATAGTAATCCCATGTGTTATAGATAGAACTGCTCCATAGGGCTTTCTGTATGAGATCAGATCGGAAGGCCCCTCTAACACTGTGCCACTTGGGGTGGGGTGGGGTGAGGGGATGGGAGGAGACTAAAATGACAACCTTTAGGCTGAACTATCCATCAACCTAATAAAAGATTGCCATAAAGAAAATGAAAATTTATATGTCAAAGAAAACCAGCACTTGGTTTAAAGAAATAAAAATGTGTCAGGTGAAGGGCATTGTAGTGTGTGTGTGTGTGTGTGTGTGTGTGTGTGTATGTGTGTGTTGGACATGGCATCTGGGGAACTATCTTCTCAAACTGATAGACAAATTTCAAAGAGGACATCGAGATGCTGGTGTGGTGATGTAGGATGAACACTGGACGGTTCAAATCCACCAGTTACTCCTCAGAAACCCTATACAGATTCACTGAGTCAGAATTAATTCTACACTTAATAACAACATCTATTTTCTTATTTCTTTCACTCTTCTCTCGTGTGTTGCTGTAAAATAAGCACTAGACTGCTAACATAAAGGTAGGTGTTTCAAACCTACCAGCTTCTCTTTTTCAGGTTGTTAAGAGTTGGAATTGATTCTATGGCATTTAACAACAGCTTCTCTTACTAGGTCCAGTTTTTCTCAGTTATCTTGTTTCTGATGTTGTTAAGTGCCATCGAGTTGGTTCTGACTCGTAGCAACCCGGTACGGAGTTTCCTAGGAGCAGCTGGTGAGTTTGAACTACCAACCTTGCAGTTAAAATTGACCTTGAGGTCGAGTGCTCGCAGCACCCCATATGTACAACAGAAGGGAATGCTGCTGCATCTTGTGCCATTCTCAACACTATAGCTATGTTTGAGCTCATTGTTGCTGTCCTTGTGTCAACCCATTTCGTTGAGGTCTTTCTCTTTTAAGTTGACCCTCCATTTTACCAAGCACAAAGTAAATTCTCTAGTGCCTGGTACTTTTGACTACATGTCCAAAGTATGAGAAATGAAATTTCTTCTAAGGCGCCATCTGGCCATATGTCTCCAAAAACATTGGTTCTTCTGGCACTCCATGGTACTTTTAATATTTTTCACCAACATCTGAATTTAAATGCATCAATTATTCTTTTTTCCTTTTTCATTGACCAAATTATGTAAGTATATGAGGTTATTGAAAAAACCATGACTTGGGTCAGGGGCACCATAGTCCTCAAAGTGACACCTTTCCTTTTTAACACCTTTTGCAGCTGATTTATTCAATGCAATATATCCTTTGATTTCCTGACTGGTGCTTCCATGACTGTTGATTATGAATCCAAGTAAAATGAAATCCTTGACAACTTCAATCTTTTCCCCTCATGATTTTATTTATTGGTCCAGTGGTGAGGATTGTCATTTTCTTTATATTGAGGTGCAGTCTTTGATCTTCATCAGTAAGTACTTCAAGTCTTCTTTGCTTCCAGCATACAAGGTTGAGTTATCTGCATATCACAGGCTGCTTATGAGTTTTCCTCCAATCTAGATGCTGCATTCTTCTTCAAGTAATCTAATTTCTCAGATTATTTGCTCAGTATGCAAATTGAATAAGTGTGGTGTAAGGATACAACTCTAATGCATACCTTTGCTGGTTTTAAACAATGTGGTATCACTTTGTTCTGTTTGAACAATTGCCTCTTGGTCTATGTACATTGGAATTCCAGTTCTCTGCAATGTTATCCATAATTTATTATGATCCAATGCCATTTCACAGACAACAAAGCACAAGTAAACATCTTTCTGGTATTCTCTGCTTTTAGCCAAGATCCATCTGGTGTCTGAAATACTGATTGCTCTACATCTTCATTGGAATCTGTTGTGAATTTCTGGCAGCTCCCTGCCAAAATACCTGCTGCAACTATTGAAAGTTACTTAGAATCTTAGCATTAGTGGGTGAGAATTTATTGGTAAGTGAAAAACATCCAGTTGTAAGAATCACTCTTTTTTTTTTTTTAAAGAAAACTTACAACAATATTATTTTGTTGAAAAAATTACTGTAAAACATACAGCAACTTTCTACATGTACATTTAATAACATAGATTATTCTTTGAGTTGAACAACCATTCTCACCCTCCTTTTCTGAACTGTTCCTCTCTTATTGACAAACTTACTGCTCCATAGGTTTTTACTTAATCTTTTGAATTCCTGTTGTCAATTTGATCCCATACAGTTCTTAAAAGAGCAAAATGCTCAGGAAGACATTCTAGTTAAGTTGCATGGTTTGACTTAAAGACTTCAGGGGATATTTTGGGGTTAAAGAGAAAAGGAAGATTTTAATACCATTTTAGGTAACTGTGTATACATGACTTTTGATACTACACCAAAACGTGACTTATGGTAGTGTCTTAAAGATTAGCTAAAATTAAGACCCAATCTACATTAATAAGTGTTGTATTATTACATTAAAATAGACTGGTACCTTTTACAGAGAATGGATTTTTAGCTATGCATAACTTTGCAGTATCATTTGGAAAATACTGCTTTACCAAGTAATGCAGAACTTCTAAAGTTGGCATATGACAATAAACAATAGCAAATGGTTCACATTTGCCAACGTCACCACCCTAGCTGATACATGCCTGCCATACCAAGTTCATGGTTATTCATAATCCTAATTATTGCATCAAAGCTTGCATTTTTTGTCATGGAAAAAATACTGTCAGTTGTTTTTTGAAGTGACAATATTCATTTGAGAAAATGTCTTCCAAAGGCTTACAGTTAAACTACCATTGTTTGTTACGCATTTTTTCAAACAAAAATGATCTGAAAAAAGTGGTTAGGTTTATTCATAATTCAATTACACATCTGCAATTAAACTGTTTGGATGTGCAGCAAAGCACAGTGACTGTCTCTCCTAGTCTGTCACATGGGTTCTAAAGAGATGTGCTCTCTAGGGCCAAACTTAATAAAAACAATGACCTCTTCATCAACTACATTCTTAAGTGAAACTGGCATTTTAATGATTTAAAATATAAAATGATTTGGGCTAAGGCCCCAACAATTTTACTCAATGTTTTTGTACCATGAGTGCAAATATCAACACAGTAAAAATGGAAATGAATGCCTTAGTATAATTATATCTTTGAATTTAACTGAGCTAATGTTTCACAACTGTGTAAGGTTTTGATACTGTTATCACTTTCATGATTCCATGTAGTTTTTTAACTCTAACTTTTTAAAAAATTTATTGAAACTTTCTACTGTAGTCTATTTGCTACTATTGAGTGGTGGGCTTGTCTGTTGATGTTATTCAGATCCTCTGTTTCTTCATTCCCTTTCTTTCTAGTTATTGTTCTATCCACCAAGTAGTGTATTACAATCTCCAACCATTTTTATAGATGTACGTCTTTTAATTCTAACTATTTTCTTTATATATTTTGGGAATTTGTAACTACCAGACCAGCCCTACAAGAAATATTAAAGGGAGTCCTCCAGAAAAAAACAAAACAAACTATCTAGACCAGCCAACCACTCAAAGTATTGATACATAACAACGACCTGAATACACACAACAACAAAATTACAGGGAATCCAGGGTATAAAGTTGTAATTGATGGTAACATCAAAACAAGAAAGGGAATGATTGGTGTAGAAATAGAATTTTCACATGCCAAGGAAATTAAGGTGGCTTCAATAGACAACATTGTAAATGTAGGTGTTAAATTTGTAAACCTCACCATATCCATAAAGTATATAATTCTATTCACCAAAGAAAAGAAGAAGCCAAGACTCACTAAAATAAAAGGGGGAAATCTGTTTTTAAAAAAACTCAGCACTGATGATAAAAAGGAACAAAGAATTTATCAACCTCATCAAGCCAAAAATTTTATGACAAAATGGCTGAAGTAAATTCTTCTCTATTGTAATTATAGTGTCTATAATTACACTATAAAGTGGATTAAATGACCCAATCAAGAGCCATAGTGGCAGAATAGGTTTTAAAAGTGACCCATCCATACGTTGACACACAGGCACCAAAGGTTAAAATCAAAGGATGGGGAAACAATACCAAGTGAACAGTAATAAAAACAGATCAGGAGCAGCAATATTATATATATATTAAAAAAAAGGATCAAAGAGTCACAGTTTACATCAGTTCTTATCTTAAAGGGAAGACTGGAAACCTAATGGAGTGAAAGCCTGAGTCTCTAGTTTCTCTTCATTCATATCCAGATCATCTACCAATGATCATTTCTCTTTGTAATAATCTATCAGTGGAAAAATATTCAAATGAGCTCATTTTTTAATAAGAAAATAAGTAAAACTTTTGAGATAAAAATGATATTTGGGGGCATCTGCCTGTGTCTACTGGATTGGGTGCCCAATTTTGCAAAATCAAATAAAGAAAACCGCACTCTCACTAATATGAGTACAGATTGGATTTCTTGAGCATTTGCTGGTACCAACAAAGTTTCTTACAAATTTGGAGGTTTGTCCAGGACTTTCTGCCTGCTTGGACTGACCCAAGACTGTTAAAGAAGGAATTAGCAAGAGAGACATGTGAGAGACTGAGAACAGACTAACCGCAGCAACCAAGCAATCTCCTGTACAAGCCAGGTGGGAACATTGTAAGTATCCCCCGGGTGGTTGGGCATTTTCAGGGGTCCTGTGACTGAGGTGCATCTTAGATGTAAAGCAAGTACAGAGTTCCAGTCCAGTCCTAGATGGACAAAGTGAAATCTTGGGGTTGTGTGTTTGAAATCTCCAGGACAGAGAGGTTGAGATACAAGGGAACTCAGACACCAATACCAATAGAA